GTCTCCTCACCCCTCCCGGGGCAGGAAACACAGGAGGGTTTTCTTTGTACACGGACTTTTATTCTGATTAGAGAAAAAGAATGTCCCTGCATGACCCCTTGTCTCGGAAGGAGTGGGTTAAACCGTGAGCTGTTCGCTGCAAGGTCAGCGGGTTGAACCCACCGGCTGTTGTGTGGGAGAACAATGAGGCTCTCAACGCCGGTCAGGACTGACAGTCTCAGAAACCCACCAGGGAAGTTCTGTTCTGGCTTCTAGGGTCCCTACAAGCAGAATCGACTTGATGGCAGTGAGTTTAACTTTGACCCCTTGACTATACACAGTGGACACCATGGGAACTATCCAGAAGGCAACTGGGGTGGGGGGAACCCCCTTCACTCCGGGCCCGCTTGTTGGTTCACACCCTGCCACCGCCAGCTCCCCCAGCCTCGCCCGTCGGCCCGCGAGGAGCTGGACTTCCACGCACACAGCCAGGTACACGTGTGCATTTATGTCGGCTTTGCTCTTTGCTTTCAGAGGGCTCCCTTTAACATTTTTTTTCGGCAAGGCAGCGTGCTCGGCGGGGAACATCCAGAAAGCACAAAATGAGTGTGTCTTTTGTGCCTCTAAGCAGAGACCGCACTCCCTTGGGGTCAGCACCGTGGTGATTGGTCGGTGCCATCGAGCGGGTTCCCACGGGTACCGACCCTGTCTCCGTACACCTGAGTGAAACCCTGCGGGGTCCCGCGCATCCTTGGTGGCAGATGCTTGTATGTCTATGCATGATCATATAACGAGTGGCATTGGGTGTGCCAGCATTTCCTGCATGGCCGATGCAGTGACATTAAGGGCATATTCGACGTGCAACCGTCCCCACTGCCCAAGGTTGGAAAACCAAGCTATATTGATCGGCGGTTCGACCGGACATCAAGAGGCAGGCACCTCGGGTGCGTGGTTTCTGCCCCGAGGCTGGACGACCGGGCTGCTGTCCTCTTATCGCATGATAAACCACTCCGCGGGAAACATCTTTCTGGGGAAAGCACTTGATGCTTCTTTTTAGGATATTTTTCCGTCAGCAGAATAAGACATTTTAATAGTTCTTCATCTTTTTTAACCAGTTTATCTTACAGGTGGTCCGCAAGTATTAATTCTACTAGCAGCATCTCATTCACGCCTAGCTAAGGGACTATAAAGTAGTGTCCAAGGGAGCACTGGTTATGAGTGGTTACGAGTTCGGCTGCTAACTGCAAGGACAGCGGTTCGAGACCACCCACCTCTCTGCAGGAGAAAGACCAGGCTTTCTACTCCCATAAAGAGTTATTGTCACAGAAACCCACAAGGGCAGTTCGTCCCTGTCCTGCAGGGTTGCTATGAGTAGATGGCGTAAAGAAATGATTACCTTGTTTTACTCTGCAGTCCTTTTATTCCTAATAAAGTTGAGGGACTTTTATAACCGTTCCTACCGGTCATTTGCACGTCTTCTTTGTAACGGCTTCTGACAGCACTTCCTAACCAAACGTGCTGTGATGCCAGACATGGTCTATATCTGCCCTGCCCGAGATACCAGCTACAGGTGACCGTAGAGCCCTTGATGGGTGGCTAGTGCAACAGAGGGAGTGAATTTTTCTTTACATTTTGTTTACGTTGAGATTTAAATCGATGTAAGGCTTTACTTCAAATGGAAGTGAGTTTGAACCCAGATGTACATAGCTCCCTGTGCCCAGTAGCTGCATGTTGGAGGGCTCTGTCTGAACGTCCCCCC